ACTTCACTGTCCTTTAGTGCCCTTCTTGCAATCACATCTGTGCTCTCAATATCATGCCTAGACCCTCTCTGCCTCTTCCTAGCACTCCAGGAAATTCATCTCAAAGCCCTGTCCTCTCCTTAGCTCTTGCCTGAACTGTGTAGCCTGAGGCCAAGTGGACTTAATGAATGCACACTCCATTTTCCTGATCCCCAGACCTCTTCTAGACCAGTCTCTGTGTATTACTTAACCCATTTTCCCACATCTGACAGGCGTAGTAAGGATAAAGGCTCCTGGGGAAGATTTCTGCTGCTGCTGCTGCAAAGCCCCTTCCCATAAAGAATCCTTACCCCAGGAGACATAGAACAGGGCTGGAAAACAAACAGGGAGAAATAATTAAGAAGTGGCCAGATATACAGTCATGAGAGTGAATTTAGTTTTACATTTGGTCCTGGGATAGACAAATGGTAGGCACCCAGGAATGATAGCTAACATTTATATAGAGCTTCCTATGTCTCAGGCACTGTGCTAAGCCCTCTCCAATTATTATCTCATTTGCTCCTCATGACAACTCTGGGAAGTAGGTGCTCTTAACCCCATTTCACAGATGAGGAAACTGAGGCAGACAGAACTTAAATGACTTCTCTAGGATCACACAGCTAGTAAGCGTCTCTGGTTGGATTTGAATTCAGGTCTTCCTGACTCTATATCCAGCGCTCTAAGAGGCAGTCAGGTAGAGCAGGGGATAGAACCCTGGACCTAGGTTCTGGAAGACCTGAGATCAAATCCAGCCTCAGATGCTTACTAACTGTGTGACCAGACTCGGATTCAGAAAGACCTAATTTCAAATTTGCCCTGAGACATTAGTAGGACTGAGACCCTGGGAAAGTCATTTCACCTCTATCTACTTTGATTTCCTCTGCTGCAAAATGGAAAAAATAAAAATAATATCTGCTACTCAAAGTTATTGTGAGGATAAATTGAGATAATATTTGTAAAGTACTTTGCTCAGTATGTTGGCATAGGCTGGCCCCTTGCCTGTAATGCATTCCCTGGACGCTTCCATCTTCTAATCTTCTAGAATTCTTAGCTTTCATTCAAGGCTCAGCCTGGGTATTCACCTGCTATATGAACATGCCCTCTGTTAGCATTCTGACTCTCTTCAGGTCACCTTGCACCTACGTACATGGACATATTTGTGTCACCTTAATAGAATGTAAACTCCTTGAAGGAAGTTGGGAAACAGTCAGGTTCCAGAGGTCTATTTGGTTGATACAGAGAAAGTATGAAGAGAATTACAGTACAGAAGTTTGGAGAGGTAAGTAGGGTCCACAGACTTCTGGTCCCTCCAAGAATGAGGAAGAGTTCAGAATAGTGTGCTCTGCATTTAGCCTTTGCTTGCTTGATGACCCAGAATAGATATTGTCCAGCTTTGGGGTGGGAAGCGGGAATTGCTATGCCCTGAGACCTCCAGAACCTTGTAGCATGTACAGCTCTCCCCCAGGGACACATAGAAGGGAGGGGCTGTTTTGTTTTTGTCTTTGGGTGTGTCCCCAGAGCCTAGTATGGTGCCTGGAATGTGGTAGGTGCTTAATCAATATTTATTTATTGATTGATTAGATTAGGTTGAATCCTGAGAGCTACAGAGACGATCTACTGTTACTATTAGTTGTTCAGGTGATATGCTTATTAGTCCAGGAGCCCCTTAAAATAACCCTCTGTTAATGAAATAACTTCGTAGATTTATAGATGAGCCACGACCTTAAAGGGACACCACAGGCCCTTAGAGAAGGGAGATAATGGGGCATCTTTTTTTTTTAAGTGTTAATTTCTGTCAGGTCACCTTACTCTTATACCTATTAAGATGTTTGATTTAAAGTCAGAAGAGATCTTAGAGGTCATCTAGTCTAATCCTCTTATTTTACAAATGAGGAAACTGAGGCAGAGTGAGGTCATAGGATCATACATCAGGAGTTGAAAGGGACCTCATAGACCCTTTAGTCCAATCCCCTTATTTTACAGATGAGGAAACTGAGGCCCAGAGGTGAAGTGGTTTGCTCCAGATCACACAAATTGTAAGTTGCAGATCTGGGAATCAAACCCAGCCCCTCTGTCTCCACATCCAGCATTCTATGCGTGACTTTTAAAATTTCCAAAACATAGCACAGTTGTCTTATTGGGTTCACTTTGCTAGGTGACTTTTTTTTTTTTGGTAATCTCTGCAGCACATGCTTTGTAACTAAATGGAGTCCCTCACTGGGGCCTTTCTGTTTCTTCACCTACCCATTTTCAGCCTCAGAGGCTGAATGAGACAAAGTGATTAAAATGCAAACAGGGTTAAAATGCAAATGAATGGCCAACCTGCAGAAGCCCATGGAATTAGGTGACCTAATCATAAACCCTCTATCTATTTAAAAGAATTTTTCTTTTTGGTCTCGTTAAAACTGAATGAAAAAGCACCTGGAGAAACTGAATTACGTTTTGGTGGTTCGTCCTATTTAGGAAGTGTAAATTTATGCAATAACTATTCAGTTCTTGCTCAGAGGAAGCTGAGTATTCTTCTGGCTTAATAAGATTTTCAGCAATGTAGATTTAAAATAGCTGGAGAGGTCTTGCCCCTTCCAAGGTGGTCAGTGGAAGCCTAGTGTGGGGGGTCCTAAAAGGAGATGGAACCTATTCCTCGCATGTAAAACCGGTGGATGTCTGACTGACCACCTGTAGTTGAGGGTTTCTGTGATGACCACAGTCCATGGTCCTGAATCTCTAGGGTCAGGAGTAGCAAGAAGTAAGAGATAGGCAAACTTTAGCTGGGGGAGTATTGGGTGTGAAGGCCTGAAGACCTGAGTTCAAATCTATGTTGAAACTCAATGCTGAGATGACCATGGGCAAGTTGGCTAAGCTCTCTATGCCTCAGGTTTCTCCTCTGTAAAGTGGGAATGGGATTAATGATGCCCGCAGTACCTATTTCATGGGATTGTTGTGAAACTCAAAAGAGACAATGTGGATATATAAAATGCTTTGTGAATCTTAAGGAGCTTTCTTCCTCTCCCTCCCTCTACCTCTCTGTCTCTGTCTGCCTCTCTCCCTCTCTCCCTTTCTGTCCCCCTCTGTCTCCCTCTTTCTCTCTCCATCTCCCTTTTTCTGTCTTCCTCCCTCTCCCCCTTCCTTTGTCTCTCTCTTCTTTTCTTTATCTTTTCCCCCTCTCCTTTTGTCTCTCCCTCTCTGTCTCCCTCCTTCCCTTTCCCTTTCTTTCTTTCTCTCTCCCTTTCTTTTTCCCTCTCTCTAGATAGATATCTCTATATAGATAGATGTATACACACATATATGTATTATGTACATATATGCGCACATATGTATGTATAATAGTTGTGTGGGGTTTTATTGGGGGGGTGGGGAGGACAGAATCTAGACTCTATTTTCATCAGTTTAGGGAACACTCAGTATGGAAACTTCCTGCACTAATGCACATAGGCAACTTCTCTATAATTTGTAGCTTTAGGAAGTTGTCCAGGACCCTAAGCTCTCATACAAGAATGGACTTGAAATGTCATCTTGTCCAGTTGATGCAGCAGAAAGAACATGTATTTGGTGAAGTAATGTGGTCACAAAACTCGTCAGGATCTGAACTGGGTCTTTCGAATGCCAAGTCCAGCCCTCTCTCTACTGGCCCATACTACTTCTCTATGTTATTTCTAAAGCCTCTTTCAACATCCAGTCCTTTGAAGGTGACTGATCTTGGACCAAATCCAAGTTGGAGCCATATTGGGAAATCCTGTGCTATGGCACGCAAGCTAGACTGGCCTTCTTACCTAATGTTCTTCACACATATCTCTCAATCTTCCGTCCATCTCTTTACATTTTCACATGCCTGGAATATACTCCCATGCCTGGAATATACTCCCTTCTCACCTCAACCTATTATAATCCCTAATTTAAGCTTCACCTTCTATTTGAGACCTGTTTGGTGCCCCAGCTGTTAGCATCTGTCCCCCCATCTGTCTTGTATTTATGTATGTATTTTGCATAATATACACATATATGCATGTTTTGTCTTCTCTGATACTATGTAAGCTCCTAGAGGACAGGGGTTGTTTCCTTTTGATCTGTGTACCCCCAGAGCCCAACCCAGTGTCTAGGATACTCCCTCCTCATGTCCACCTCATGGTTTCCCTGGCTTCTTTTAAGACCCAGCTAAAATACCATCTTCTAGAAGAAGCCTCTCCTGATCCTCCTTCATACTGGTTGTTGTTGTTGTGTCCTTCAGCTGTGTCCTACTCTCTGTGACCCCATTTGGGGTTTTCTTGGCAAAGATACTGGAATGGTTTGCCATTTCCTTCTCCAACTCATTTTACAGATGAGGAGACTGAGGCAAACAGGTTAAGTGACTTGCTGAAAGTCACATAGCCAGTAAGGGTCTGAGGCCAGATTTGAACACAGGAAGATGAGACTTCCTGACTCCATGCCTGAAGTTCTATCCACTGTGCCACCTAACTGCCCCTTCATACTAGTGCCTTCCCTCTAATCATTATCTCCATTTTATCCCCTAGGTGGCTTGTTTGTATGTGGTTGTTTTTGTGATTTCTCCCCCATTAGATTGTGATTTCCTGGAGAACAGAGACAATCTTTTGCCTTTGTCTGTATCACAGTACTGTTGCCCAGTGCCTAGTAGGCACTTAATAAATGCTTAATTTCAGAGCAGGGGACTAATCTTTGTTCGATTGCCGGCTTCATGATGGTGACATTACAGTATGATTCTTTAGTCTCATGGTATTCTCTGGTAGCAGAACATTGTTATGACTCTGAGATGTCTGAAAAAGACTGATGGGAACTTGTAGGAGACACTGATGGATTGTTATTGTTGATTTATTTAAACCTATCTACCCAGCCTTATTTGGGTGAGGAGGCGGGGGATTCCCTGTGATTTTTAGTGTGGCACAGGAGGCAGGGTTAGTGTTCTGTCAAGCACCCCTCCTCCTGTGTTCACACACCTCCTTGTTTCTTCTTGTTCTTTCTTTGTGCAGGTCAGCCGGAGCGAGATGAAGGTCTGTATCCAGCAGGAATTCGACAAGGTTCGGCAGCAGGTCTGTGAGGAGGAGCGGAAGGCCCTTCACCTGGTGGACCTCCAGGAAGCTGTGGCCACAGCCCACGTGACGGAGGTCCTGGCTGAAATCCACGTCCACATGGAAAAGTTGATGGCGGAGATGGCTGAGATCAGACACCAGCTTGATGCCTTCAATGAGTTGGCTTCGATGAAACCAGAGGTAATGAGAAGGAGAGTGTCCAGATGGCTAGTAGCATGGGGCCTGAGGGAGAAAACTGTACCATCTCCTGGCTTATGACACCTACTTAGGGACCCTGAGAGGATAATTCTTTTGTCAGGATTGAAACATATCTCCATAGCAGAAAGCTAAAAGACCTCTTAAGCATAATCTGCCCACATAAGCATGTAGAAATTATATGATCCCAGAATCACAAATCATAGAAATTCAGGGGGAGGAAGGAACCTTGGAGGCCATCTAAGACATTTGTACCTGGGCAAGAAACTCATGTACTATATCCCCAGTCTTTACTAAATCATCTACTCTATCTACTCTCATACTATTATATCATCCAGTCTTTGCTTAAAGACTTCCGTGGACAAAGCCAGTACCTCTTGGGTATGTTTTTGAATATTTTTCCAACCAGGGAACCCAAATTTTTAGCATGTTTCAGCCTCCCCTCCCTCTTCTTGTGATGGATGGATCTTAAAAAACAGGAGAAGCTGAATCTTGTGAAATTTCACAGCAGCAGGGTGAAAGTCTGTGCTAACTGAGGCCAAGAGGGCATGTTGGGAACTTCTGGTGGCACCTACAAGGGCACCATGGAGATGTTAGTGCTGAGGATGGATCAGCACATACCTGGCATGTCTCTCAGGGCATCTTGCTGTGGAGTGATGCAGTAGTGGGAAGTCAGAGCAAGAGGATGAAACGCGTACCCAGGAGGCAGATGTCCTCTAAATGATCCTGACAGAAAGGATGGCTTGGTTGATTGATGAGTGATCCGCCTGAAACTCCAATCATTCTTAATGACATGAGGTGTCGGGACAAGAGGACGATGGGAAGGGCCCTTGATTTGGAATCCAAGAGCCTGGTGCTCCCACCGCTGTGACAAGGTAACTGTGTCATCTTGGACAAGTCACTCTATTTCTCTGGGCCTCATTTTCCTCATCTGTAAAATGGGGGTGATAATAATAGCACCTATTTTGAAGGGTTGTTGTGAGGATCAAATGAGCTAGTGTTTATGAAGAGCTTAGCACAGTGAGGAGCACATAGGAGATGCTGTATAAATGCTAGTTATGATGATGATGATGATGAAGGTGTTGATGAGAGAGTGCTTTTCCTAAAGCCTCATTGACGTAAAGTGGCCTTTAAGAGTCACATAATTAGTACCTGAGGCTGGACCTGAGCTCAGGTCTTCCTGACTCCAGGGCAACTGTTCTATGACAGAGGCTTCCAACGTGCACCTGAGAGGGGAGCCAGAATCAGCTTAAAATGTAATTGGGAAATATTTAGAAAATAGATTAAAATGCAGCACAATATAGATCATGTTCATATGTAGTTTTCTACATCACTGTGCCTTGGGCAGGGCTCCTTATGGGTGGTTTGTGGCCTCCTTTCCCTGAGTTTGACTCCCCTACTCTAGGCCTTTGCCATCACAGTAGAATGATGGTGAAGTTTTTTGTTTTTTTTTTGGTTTTTGTTTGTTTGGTTTTTTGCTAGGCAATGAGATAAAGTGACTTGCCCAGGGTCACACAGCTAGTAAGTGTTATATGTCTAAGGCCAGATTTGAACTCAGGTCCTTCTGACTCCAGGGCCAGTGGTCTATCCACTGAGCCACCTAGCTGCCCCTACAGTTGTTTTAAAGATGAAGCTTCATGTTCTAGCTTGGGGATCAGGAACCACGGGTTCTAGTTCTCTCTCTCTCAGTGTCTTCTTCAAGCTAGCAAGTGGCCACCACCACCCCCCTCCATCCTTTCTCTATACCTCTGTTTCCACATCTAAAAAAAGAGGGGTTTGGACGAAGTGACTTTATTTTCTCATAGACTGGAAAGAACCTTTAAGAATATAATTTAGTTTTACCCTCTCCTTATATGGAAGAAGAAACTGAGGGCCAGAGAGGCCCAGGGATTTGCCCAAAGTCACCCCTTCTGCCCCCTGAGATTCTGTGATTCCCGTGGATATTCATCTGCCTCTCAGTTTTTTCTTTAGTCACCCTCCCTAACGTTAGCCAGCCATTTGGGGTCTCCCCACTGCTTGTTAACCCAGTTTGAATTGCTCTTAGCCAGGGAGGGGTGAGACAGGCCTCAGGAGCCTGCTATGCATAAAATAAGCTATTAACAACAATAAGCGGCGTTCAGCTGGCAAAAGCCTCCGCGATAAACTGCTATCATCTAATGGCCTCCTGTTCCAGCTAATCTGGCAGCTCATTGGTCAGAGCACATTTCCTCGTCTCATGTAGTCTGTGGAGAAATCCAACAAAGACTCAAAATGGGCTGCTTAATTCCATTCTTTCAGCCAATCTTGTCCTCGTTTTCCTATAGCATCATACAGGATTGAAAAATTATTGCCAGCATTGTGAATCCCATTAAAAGGGCGTGCGTGTGTGTGAATGTATGTGTATGTGTAAGCATATGGGTGTATATGTGTGTATGTGTGTGATTGTATGCATGTGTATGTGTAAATGTATGTGTGTGTATGTGTGTTTGTGGGTGAAAGTGTGT